CCCCTTACCTATCTTAATATTCTTTTCTTCTTTTCATTGTTTCCTTCTTCTCCTGATATTTTTTTTAACCTTTAATAAGAAGTGTTTCGGTCCATTAAGTCGTATACTTTTCTTACTCCAATTACCACAATTGGACCTCGCATCAGTACCAAGACTGGGGTTACTGAGGTGTATTTACGTTTGAGACAAGAAGACGTGAAAAATATACGACATGTAATGTTTCGTTAAAAATCAGGGGGATGGGCGCATTTCACGCCTTTATTTCGTTGATTTCTCAGAGGTCCACGTGCAACAGAATTTTTTTTTAGGAAGCCTGAAAATGGAGCTGCGCATGGAGCTAATGCATTTATTTGCCCCGGCACAGCCAGCGCCAGTTCCGATCATCCCGGTGCACGGACTTCTTCGAGCAGGCCTCATCGTTGCCTTGTTCCTCGCTACATTCTGCGCTTGCCTCGTACGTTGATAGTTTATTGCACAGTTAATTTTACTTTGTGTTCTGAAAGGAAATTGGGAAATCATGGATTTTCCTAAAGCAAAAAACCATGATCTTTATTTTTGTGCGTTTTTTGCATCTATGCAAAGAAAAAAGGCATATGGTCAAGGAGTTGTCTGTGTGTGTGTGTGTGTATGCTGTGTCTGTGTGTACGTCTGTACCGACTTTTCATCTTGAGACCTAGAAAAGCTATGAGGCAGAAACTCTGATAAATTAATTTACATGCGTGTACGAGCCCTCATTCCCAAAATGGACGTTCTTGCTCACGTGATTCCCACATACGAGCCCACGAAAGGTTTTGGAAGGTAAGCGCTACTAATGCGAGAGAGAGAAAAGCTAGAAAGTTGAAATTTTAAGGGGATGTTTTCTCACAGTCCTGGTGGCCAGTCTCAATTCTTTTAGTTAGAAGCATCTACTGGAAAAAACAGTACCGTTATTGACAAAAACCTGTGGATAACCATGCAAAAAACGTATCTTTGCACCGGCAGTTGGTGCGCTGGCCAGTTATTCACTTATGCGGTTGGCAACTTCTTCAGTTGCCTTGATCAGTGCTGTAGCATGGGGTTGCAAGAATCAGGGGGATTCTGATATTGGTTTCTCCTACCGACAGAATTATTGGCTGAATGATTCTCATAAAAGAAGCAGAATTTTAATTAAAGCAAATCTCCATGTTGCTCTAGTACTTCGGTAAAGCATGCCATTTTTGTATTTCAGCAAAAATCAACAATTTCTTTGCGCATTAAGTCTACGTTTGCAGTTGGCGTTTTTGCTTCGGCGTATAGCTT